TGTGTGTGTGTGTGTGTGTGTGTGTGTGTCTGTGAGTGTGTCTGTGTCTGTGAGTGTGTGTCTGTGAGTGTGTGAGTCTGTGAGTGAGTGTGTCTGTGAGTGAGTGTGAGTCTGTGAGTGTGTGTGTCTGTGAGTGTGTCTGAGTGTGTGTGTGTCTGTGAGTGTGTGTCTGTGAGTGTGAGTGAGTGTGTCTGTGAGTGTGTCTGTGAGTGAGTGTGTCTGTTTTGCACTATTGATATTTTAGAGTGTCGCCCCTTCATTGCTGTGCACTTTTTTCTGCATTGTGAATGATTTGTAGATTGTACACACACTATTTCCCATTAATTTCCGATGGTGGTCATTTTTGACCGTGAACAACACAAGTGTGACCATTTTTCAGGACCATTTAGCTTTTTCGAATCAAGTCCACGACTTTATTTATTTATTTGCGGTCACAAAAGTAATCAAGTTTCGTAACATTCCGATGAAGTAGTGATTTTTAAAATCTAAAAGGACCGAGGAAACACCAGACGGTTAAAATTATTAGGAAAAAGATTGATTATGAACAAAAATACAGATTATTATTATTATTACACATTAATAGATGCATTTAATTGATTAACAATCAAGGCAAGGGAAACACACGCTGGAGAAACAAGAACCCGCAGTGATTTATCCTTTTGGAAAATTAAAATGAACTGCTCAGGAGGAATCTGACCGCTGCAGCTATGAAGTGTTTGTTTACATGTTTAAACGGAGGTTACTTCCGGGTTCCGGTCTCTTAGCCAATCAGCGCTCCCGCGTCAGCGCGTCGCAGGATTTGTCCTCCGGGTCTAGCTGCGCTGGTCAAACATGGCTGCGGTGGAGTTTGGAGACAGCGAGCTGTTCGAGCAGTTCGAGGAGGACGCGTCGCAGCGCGGGCTGCGGGAGACTCTAGAAGCGTGCGGAGAAACAGCCGCGCGTCTGAAGGCGGAGAATATCCTTACAGACACTCACGCGACCCTTACAGCCCAGGAGCCCAGGAGCCCAGGAGCCCAGGAGCCCGTGCACACACACGCGTAGATCAGCTGAGCTGCGATAGAAATAGGATTCGGTTTGCACCGGTAGCACAGAATCTATTCATTTTGTATGGTCTTTAATCCATATTATAACTCTTGTTATGCTATTTTGGAATGTTTTTATCTTCAAAAAAAAAAAAAAGCATACTGAAACCGCAACCTTTCACATTCTGCAAGTGCTCTCAGACACGTACAGGAGGAGCTCTAGGGTCCTCTGCTTCTAATGGTCTGAACACCAGACCTGACTGATGGTGACTCCCAAGTGTGGCGTTTGTTTTGGTTGTGTTCACTGTTTGTCTCTGTCTTTATATTGAGCCTTAATGCTGATGCACATGAGGAGCTGAAGAGGAAGCTGGACGTATTGAGTCGTCCTGCGTGAGTAAAGAGGGAGCTTGTGTCAGTGTGTGCTTAAACTGGACATTCATTCACATGTACTGACTACCAAAGCTCTTTTGTGTTCCAGGGGGATAAAAATAGAAGATTCCAAAATCGATGGGCCACTTTGTCAAATTAATTATGGAAACAACATCATTTCCAGGTGAGTGTGTGTGTGTGTCTGTCTGTCTGTCTGTCTGTCTGTCTGTCTGTCTGTCTGTCTGTCTGTCTGTCTGTGTGTGTGTGTGTGTCTGTCTGTCTGTGTGTGTGTGTGTGTGTGTGTCTGTCTGTCTGTCTGTCTGTCTGTCTGTGTGTGTCTCTCTCTGTCTGTCTGTGTGTGTCTCTCTCTGTCTGTCTGTGTGTGTGTGTGTGTTTTATGTCCGTGTTATAAAAATAAATAAAATCAATAACATTGATTGTGTGTGTGTGTTTAGGCAGTGTCGGAAAGAAATGGAGGACTTCATCTGCTGTCTTGTCCAGAAGAGGCTACAAGAGTGTAGAAATGATCCGGAAGGCTCTGCGCTTCATGTCAAGCCACATGTACGCCTTCACTGTCTCTGAACGTCTCTTACAGCAGTCTTCATCAGTACGCTGCATCACGCACTGTTGTTTGTTTTTGTAGCATTCAGGTTTCGTTATGGAGGAGAGCTACAAAGCAAAGACTTCCAGTGACTCCAAGCACATGAGGAATGCTTTCAGTGTGAGTTGTGCAAACCGGAGCCAGCACACGCTATTCCTATGCAGTCACCAAACCACCACAAACGAAACCCGTACTTCTTGTTCTTGGTTTGTAGGTGATAGGGAGTGTCTTGTACTTCACCAGCTTCTGTGTTGATAAACTTGGCCAGCCGCTGCTGAATGAAAACCCGCAGCTGACTGACGGATGGGAGGTTCCCAAGTATCCTGAACGCTTATAGCCAGCTCTGCTCTCACACTTGCTCTAGACAATGCTTGTATTCTGTTTGAATCATGTCTATGTGCATCACTGCTCCTGAATCGTTTTTGCAAAGATATCCGCAGATCTTCGGCCAGATCATCGCCCTCGAGGGCCAAGTGGTGCAGATAAAGGAGAAAAGGTATGCCAAGAGTTCACTATAGCAGCATTTCAGTATTCATATGTTTATGGTGTTGCAAGACTTGCTTTTTGGTGTTGTCTTCACAGGCCGAGACCGTGCTGTTTCAACTGCTGCTCTGAGGACCATCAGCTGCGAGACTGTCCAGAGGTGTTTCTCTTTTACTCATAGACAATATTAATATTTAAATACACATTATTATGTTTTGAAGTCGACGTGAGGTCATTTGTGACTGAGTTATGAATCAGTCTTTTTGGACTGTTCAAGCCCAAAGATATGGCTCGTATCAATGAAAAGAGGAAGGAGTTTTCGCAGAACAGCAATCAGAGCAACCAGCGCTACCATGCAGAAGAGGTCGAAGAGCGCTTTGCAAAGTACAAGCCAGGAATACTGAGGTCAGCCTTCTTGTGAAGCGTCTGTCATTGCACATTTCTTTCTTTAAATCTTTTTGTTTTCATATAAAGCAAACATTTGAACACAGGAGAGGCCCAAAAACAAATAGAAAACAACAGTACAGAGGATTGAAATGAACGGAAGTATGAACTAAATAATGTAACGAGTGTCAGAGACCCTAATAAAGTATAATATAAGGATATTCAAATCAAAATATCACGGTTGCATCATAAAAGCATTTAATATGAAAGGTGATCATATTCCCGCATCATCTATTAGAGATTTCCAGATTGTCCCAAATAAATCTAAAATGTCATTATTGATCAATCGCAATTTGTGAGTATATTGTTCAGCAGTTCACTCAACCAGACACAACATATTGAAACCATTTCCACCTCTGAAGAATGCTAAAACTATACCTAAAAAAATAAGCAGGCATGCATTTTTATTATAAGATTAATTAGCAATTAACTAAACAAATGAATCAGGAGCTTTGCATTTAATGCATCCAAGAATGAAAACTCACCCACGTTTCATTGCAAACCCACTTTCATTCGTCTTCAAAACACAAGTGAAGATATTTTTAATGATAGCCCACATCCTACTTTAATTGCATGTAAAAATGGGCACTTCATTAATGTTTCTGACACGTTACATATAGTCCACACCACACATGTTTGCGAAGGATCCGGTGTGTTTGCTGTGAAGTGTCTTTGAAGCCTTATGCTGCGTGCATTGAAAAACTCAAACAGGAATCAAACACTTGTGCGTGTTAAGAGAAGTCTGCATTCAAAAATTACAGACCTGTACACACAGTTTCTCAGCATATCAGTCTATTTGCCCAGGAAGAAACACGCTGCACATTTGAACTGAATATATCTTTTGGGAATTATGCTTTAGCCTTTAGTCTCAATGCTAAGAGATGTGGACTCACACTTCCATTTCATGTGATTTTATTTGTGACCCTGGAGCACAAAACCAGTCATACGGGTATATTTTTTTGAAATTGAGATTTAATCATCATCAGAATGCTGATTAAATAAGCTTTCCATTGATGTATGGTTTGTTAGGATCGGACAATATTTGCAAAAATATGGTGCAAAAAAATCTAAATATTGAGAAAATCATCTTTAAAGTTGTTCAAATGAAGTTCTTAGCAATGCATATTACTAATCAAACATTAAGTTTTGATATATTTACAGTAGGACATTTACTAAATATCTTCATGGAACATGATCTTTACTTAATATCCTAATTATTTTTGGCATAAAAGAGAAATGTATAATTGTGACCCATACAATGTATTGTTGGCTATTGCTACAAATATCCCCCAGCGACTCAACACTGCTTTTGTGCTCCAGGGTCGCATATCACAATTTTGACTCTAGCGCTGATTTTGTCTTTCCACCATTATTTTAATTTGGTAATATAAGTGTCATTTTTATGAGAATCAACTCAGATGAAGTGTGTTTTATATTGTCTCCGTGTAGTCAAGATCTCCTCGATGCTCTTGGCATCACTACAAACACTCTTCCTCCGTTCATCTATCGCATGAGAGAGCTCGGCTACCCTCCTGGCTGGTTAAAAGAGGCAGAGATGGAAAACTCCGGCCTGACGCTCTACGATGGTAAGAGCCCGTGTTTAGTTTCTCAGATCCCTTAATTGTAGGGAGATTCCTACTAAGGGTTTTCCTAAGTAAGGTTTTGTTCAAGATTCTAGAAGGGATGGTGTTTTAAGTGTTCCGCCATCGACTCTTTACCTTTCTTTGCAAGGCTCGAACGATGGAGATGAAAATAACCACAGCCAAAAGATCTCTTACGATGTGTCAAAGCTGGTTGACTTTCCTGGCTTCAATTGCTCTGCATCACCCA